GGACGGAGGGGGGGGCGGGACCAGGGCTCAGGGAGGGAAGGGGCCAGGGCTTGAGGAAAAGGGCCAGGGGCTCGCAAGAAAGGGAGTGGTCAGCGTCAGAGACTTCGGGAAGGAAAGGGAACCGGGACTCAGAGAAGGGGAAGGGCCTGGGTTGCGGGCGGATGGACGGGGTTTCCGGGCGCTCACCGTCTGCGGGCGCGTGCAGTTCCTCCTGCTCCCGGGCGCCGGGCAGCAGCTGCCGGCGCTGCGCGGGCGTCCCGGAGCATAGAGCTCGGGCCAGGCCCGGGTCCACACCCTGCGCCGCGAGCATCCGCTCGAAGCGATCCCGGGCTGACCCGTCCTCTAGCGCCTTGGCCACCCGCGCGGCGCCTTCGTCCTGGGCCTCCGCCTGTCCGCTGAGCCAGAGCAGGACGCCCCCTGCCGGCAGGGACGGGGCTTAGGTGTAGCGGGGCGAGGGACTCCCGGCGGGCCTGCTCTGAAGCCCGGGCCCCCACACCTCCACTGGCCCCCTCACCGAGCCTAGTAACCAGGTCCCGCAAGTCCGCCGGCCCCGCGCCATCCATGCAACGCAGCGCCTCCTCCACCTCCAGGGTGTGGCCCACGCTACGGCCCAGGGGATTGTCCATGGCCGTCAGAGCCGCCGCGACCCGAAGCCCCAGGCTGGCTCCCACGCCAACCTGGGGAGACACGGTTTGGTCTGGACCCCGCCCCGCGACCCCACGGGCCTCTTGCTGCCCAAGCGTCGTCAAACTGCAGCCCCTGGGCTAGCCCCATGGTGTAGCGGTTAAGTGCGCGCTCTCCACTGCTGGTGGCCCGTGTTCAGACCCGGGGTGCACACCGATGCACCGCTTGTCAGGCCATGCTGTGGCAGCATCCCATGTAAAGTAGAGGGAGATGGGCGCAGATGTTAGCCCAGGGCCAGTCTTCCTCAGCAAAAAGAGGAGGATTGGCATGGATGTTAGCTCAGGGCTGATCTTCCTCACAAAAAAACAAAAAACAAAACTCCAGCCCCTGCTGCACCCTTCGCTGCCAGTGCTCCAGGAGTGAGGGGGTCTCCTGGGGCGGGGTCAGGGGTACCCTGAGGCAGGCAGGTGCCTGACCTCAGCGGTGGGGGTCAGGAAGACCTTGTACTTGGCCTGGTCGGAGGGTTGTGGAGGGTTTCCCCAGACCTGAGGCCTCGTCAGCCTTGCTCGGATAAGGTCACTGGGTGGAGGGTTGAAGGGAAGGACTGCCAGCAGGGAGGCTGCTGGGTCCTGTCAGAGGCCAGGGTGAGAAATGACCACTGAGTGGACTGAGAAGCACGTGGGGACCAGGCTGCCTGAGTTTATGAGGGGGAGGTTGGGGCCACATGAGGAGACCCACCCCAACAGGCCACAGCCACCCGGGGACCCCCACAGAGGGGCGATGCAGGCTCCAGTGGGCGTAGGTGCTCACCAGCACTTCTGCCAGTTCCCGGGCCTGTGCCTGGCTTGAGAAGACTGCAGCCCCTCCAAACTTCACATCCACCACCAGAGCAGACAGGTTCTCCACCACCTTCTTACTGAGGATGGATGCTGTGGAGAGTGGCAGAGGGGCTGGAGGTAATGGAGAGCCTGGTGCTTCCTGGGAGATGTGGGGGATGCTGACTCTGGGCTCAGTCATGAGGGGTCAGGAACCCTAAGCATTGAGGGTCAAGTTCCCAATGATGTGGGTGACTGGGCCTGGTGGGTTGTGCATCAGTCAGGTCACCCTCTTGAGTTGGTAGTGAGGCATCCTGTGATAAGGGGATACTGACTCTGGGGTGAGATCAGATCACCTGTGATTGGGGGAGGTCCCATGGTCCCCTGATGAGAAGACCTTGACTCTGTGTGGTTGGGGGTCAGGGGTCTTTAACATGCAGGAGGTGGACCCTGGAGTCCGGAGTCAAGTCACCTGTGATAAGTGGCAGGCTGTCGACAGTGGCTGTCACATCTCTGGCTTCATAAAGGATTCCATCAGCAGGAACCAGCTTCTTGCTCTGACCCACGATACAGCAGCCCACTCGCTCCAGCAGCCTTTGCATCTGACCAAACCCCTCTGCATCAGGACTCCCAGTGACCTTCAGTGACCTCTGATCAATGACCCCATGACTGACCCTGATCAGTCATGTGGGTCATGACTGATGACCCACGACTGAATGACTCATCAGCAACCTTGACAAATGTCCAAAACCATGACCAGTGACTTATAAAGGATTCTCATAAGTCCTCATTAATGACTAGTCTGACCCATCAGGGATATTGACCAATGTCCTAAAGCCCATTAATGATTGATCAGAGGCCTATCAGAGATTTTGACCAAGTCCCTATTAATGACGCCAAAGTTCCATTGATGACCTTGACCAAAGTCCAATGAACATCGATGACCCATGAATAACTTGATCAATATCCTCATTAGTGACTCTGATTAATGACCCATCAGTGATCCTTCAGGGATTCTGGCCAATGTTTCCATCAATAACCCAGATCAATGACCAATCAGTGGTCCACTTGTACCTGCTCTGGGCTCTGGATGACAGTGAATCCAGGAATGGACTCCAGTTTATCCAAGGTGCCCCCAGTGTGCCCCAGACCACGTCCGCTGATCATTGGTACCTGCTGGGCAGGGATGCTGAGTACACTGCACAGTCACCCTCCCTCCTCCCTTGTTTCATTTCCCCCCACACTCCCTGGTTAGGACTTCAGCTGGAGTTAAGTATTTACTAAGCAGTTGTAGTGAGTGTTCAGCTGGTGGAGAGGGAATAGAAAAGAAATTGTCCTGGTTTGGATGGGGGGTGTCTGTGGGGCACGAGGCTGGTACCTATCCCTGGGACACAAGTCTGGGGGACCGAGTGAGAGGAGTACCCAGCTCTTCCCTTTGGAGTCCTATCTGGGGTCCTGAAAGGGAAGGGGAAGCTGGATAACTGTTATGGGGGACTGATGGGGAGGGGGACCAAATTTATGTTCTGTGGGGTGAGAAAACTGGGTCCTGCCTTTGGGGGCTCTGTTTGGGCCAGGCTTGAGGTTAGAAGCTGTCTGTGGACTTGAGGTTAAAGATTCTGGACTGGAGAGGAGGCATCTTCTAACCTTGCAGCCACAGGCAGCCAGGGCAGGTGCCAGGACCAGGCTGACTTTGTCACCCACTCCCCCTGTGGAGTGTTTGTCCACGAGCTGCGGGCGCCAGGCCTCCGGCCACTCCAGCTGCTGTCCGGACTTGGCCAGGGCCCGGGTCAGCGCCGCGGTTTCCTCCAGATCCATGCCTCGCAGTCGGATGGCCATGAGCATGGCCCCTAGGTGTGGGGTACGGCGGTGTAGGCAGCATGAGAGAACGTTCCCCACACGATGGGTTATTCTAGGGTCAATGACAGTGGTGGGGCGCTATGGCGTCCCTGGGGCAGGCAGTCTCTGGGGCTGACCTCTGGGTCGGGGTCAGGGGCGCCCAGCCTTTCCTACGCACCGATTTGCGCGCCCTGCGCGCTCCCGTCCACCACGGCGCGCACGAAGCCCCTGATGTCCGCCTCGCTCAGGCGGCCTCCGTCTCGCTTCAGGCGGATCAGCTCCGGGAGCTGCTTGGGCTCCGGTGGGGGGTCAGGAGGGCCCCGGCTCCCGCCCCCCGAAAGGTCATCAGGCGCGACCGGGGCGGGTGAGGCCGAGGGTCCTGGGGTTACTGGGGCTGCCATCGCTCCGTGCCTGGGGGGTGCAAGACACACCTGGCACCTGCCGCCGCCCTGCGTCGGTGTCTGCGGCAGGGGCACCTGTCCCGACAGCCTGCCCGTCTCTCTCTGGGGTCTGCCCCTCTTCCCGGTCTGTGTTGCCGTGTGCGCGTCTCCACGTCTGGCGCCCCCTTCTCCACCTCACAACTTGACCCCGGCCCGTACCTGTCGTGTGCAGCGGCCCTCGCCCGTCCCGCTTCGGATTCCGGCCTGGTTCCTCCTTGTCGTGCCCGCGACCACAGTTTGAACCGCGCGGACAGCGCCCAGGTCCACAGTGGCGAGTGGGCAGGGCCGCGACGCCAATGGCCGCCGGGGGACGGCGGGCGGACGCAGCCGCTCGGACAGGCAGGATTCTGGGCCAATCGCCGCCTCAGGGAGGCGGGACGACCCTGAGCGCATCTGTCCCGGACAATCACGAAGGCCCACGGAAGCGCGAGACTTCCGAGATTGGCGGGCCGTCGCCCTGCCCCACCCGGGTCTGGAGGGTCTGTGGGCCAGAGCGTCCCCGCACCCGACACGCCCGCCCCGCCCCGCCCCGAGTCCCCCGCCCC